CGGGTCGAAGTACGACCGCGACAGCAGCGTCTCTGCAACAACCAGACACTCCTAGCTTCGCCCAATCTTGGCCAAGAACATCTCTGGCGACACACACACGTCGATGACTCGTAGTATATATCTTACCTCCTCAAAGTTTGAACTACCTAACTGGACCAGTTGTCCCAAGTAGGCAGACTTATGGACAATTTCGAGAATCTGATCTGTTTTTATTTCTAGACCCACTTGTTCAGAGGCTCGATTGAGGGCCTCTCATTGATCATGGTACCAACTCAATCCATAATCCCAGCCAATACACTTAACACACACTACAATGAAATACAAACTTAATTTATGAATTTTACCATAGCATTTTCTGTGGCGTAACAAATCTATATCTATCTACAGAGTGATTGTTAAAAAATGGATCAAAGGCTCTTTGGAGTTAAGGAACCTCAAATTCAACCCTTGTAATAGTCAAGTGCAACAGTCTCTTGTAATTTTCATACAAAACATATAAAAGTTAAATTTTTTAAGGAAGTCTAAGACCCACAAACATAAGTTGGAAATATGATTTTTACAATTTTATTACAAAAACTTAAATAACTTTGAAACTATACAAAAACAGGCAACACACTTTGCATTCAAAATGATAGCTATTGAGATCCTCTAACTCCACAAAGCTGTTGATCCATCCAAATGCAAGAACTATAAGGTGCAAGACAGTTGGTTAATCTAAATTATAGTTCTTCCTAAGTAAGCACAAAAGATTGATTTTCATGTACACTTAGCGCAAAGTAATAGATAGTGCATGTAACAGTAGCAGTGGCAGTACCAAGGTGCATGTAGCGGTCGGCCTGGAGCTGCTTCATTAGCTGGCAGGGCTGTGTCTGGCGCAGCACGGAGCGCGCGGCACCCAACTCGCGCAACTCAATCAGTTCTAGCACCACCTGCTCGTATAGCTCCATCAGCTTCTTGTCCGGCAGCTTGAGGGAAGCTGTGGCCTTGAGTACTGTGTCCCAGTGGCCATTGTTAATATCTGCACAGAAGCCATCCACGCTGTCTACCGTGTTCAGAGACACGCCAGTTTCCTCCTGCAAGTGTAATAAATTAACGTTTTAAGTTAAAATCCCTGTAATTTTTGTTTCTTTCCCAATGATACTGACCTGAAGAGTTTGAAGCGTCTTAGTGAGATTAGACTCTTTCAGATATTGTTGTATTAAGCGTATAACACTGAAAAGTATTAAAGTTTTGTGTTAATCTGGCGCAACAATGATTTAAGGTTACATTTTAAAATCGTACTTACTCAGCTGACTCGATTTCAATCGACATTTTGAAATAAATGAGTTTTCTATTAAACTTTAATTTAAATTATATGAAACGAATCGAATCAGTAATGTATTTTTCAAAATTTTTTAAGCTATGATTACAATACGAATGACATTTGTTTGTTATTATTATAATAGAGTTGGAGTTCGTCAAGGATTAATATATATGTACACGAATCTTTTGGCACCCGGCAATAAAAAGTGACATTTAATGTCAGGGTAATAGTGACATAGCTTGACAGTTCACTTCGCGTCATTACTCTATGCATTTTGTGTGGCTTTTTAATATTATTCCATGAAATAAAGTGTTGAAAGCGTTTAAAAGTAGTGCAAGAGAGTTTTTTTTTAAGTGGGAGATATTTTCATTGCTAAGAAGAACTACTTCTACCCCCTACGGGGGTCCAGTAATTATATTTGAAAATGTGAATCAGAATTTGTTACCATTTGTTAATCAAGAAATTCCCTAACTCTCAAGGCGACTCATATTTTTAGATTTGAAATTTTAAATAAATTGTTATATACTAATTGACTTAAAAATATTTTGCTGAAAATTGTTCTTTTTTCCTATTTCAAATTGCAGGGACTGACCCTTTATTGTAACGTGTTTTGTGCACCTGGAAGTATGGCCTTCTTGACATAAATTTCATATTTACTTACGTAATAAGGAAATTACTGCTTGTACTCAGTAAAGTATTAAAAACTAATTATCTGATAATTTTAAAACGCACAGTTTAAATCATACCACACAGTTGTAATGTTCCTTGATTATAAACAACAATCATTAAGATTTCTGTTATTTTGTAGATAAGCCCTAAGTTTGCTATAAAGGTTTTTTTGTCTATAGAGTCTTCTCCTCGACAAAGGAAGTCTGAGGCATTTCCTTTACATTGTCAGATACAAGTACTTCCTTAACAATTTGCGTTTTCGTTTTCAAAAGGAAAGAATTTTCGATAAATGCGGAAACATTACCTTGTGTGTAACGCTAATTGCTCAGAGGCGCCCTATATGTATGCTAAATAGTGCCGCAACGATATGCACCTTTTTGACATTGACTGGAGGGCCAATTTTAGGCTGAAGATTTGTCTCTATTTCAGTATGTTACAAAGTACTCTGTGGCAGTATGATTTTTAACACAATTCTTTGGTTTTAACCGTTAAAAAAAGCAATATTTAGCTAATGTTGAAAAGTTTTACTTTTTTTACTGGTGCTACGGCTCACCGTTCTTTTCCCATACAAACACGGCTTTATTACACGACGAGCTGTTCCCCTGCGACTTCATCCGCATAAACTTATAAAAATGTTATTTTATAGTTTA